ACGCTACCGGGCGGAGAGTGCTGCCAAGCACATGCGATTCTGCGGATCCGGCCCCCTTTGAAGTTGCAAAGGCGCAGGCAGTGCTTGAGTTTTCGCAGGGGATACAGGGGTTTCCGGAGCCGGGCATTCCCCGATGCGAATGGAAGGGGGTGGGGGGCCCGATCAACCTATCCTAGCAGTATACTGGTGGAGGAGCATTTACAAAGCTCGCAACTCGTAGAGTTGGGTGCAGGAGAGGGAGAGGCCGGGGAGGGGATGGACAGGATGGGGAAGCATCTTGGGTATCTTGGTCGTGGGAATGGCGACGGGAGGAAACGTAGCTGCTGGTTCTGATGGGAGGGAAGTGAAGTGGGTTTGGGATAGGGTTTTGCCGCAACCGACCCAACCCGACCTAGGTAGGTAGGTAAGCGAGTGTGGCCGTTACATTTGGTGCATCAAACTGGTAGCAGTGCGAGTTGGTTTGGTGCCGCCCTTTCGCGAAGTTTAGCGCGGCCAGTGAGCTTGCTGCTGTGCGCATGTGCCCGGTCACCTGCCGCGTCTGGGAAAGAAAAGTAGCTGAGCTCCGAGTCCCGCCTGAGTGCCTTTCCTGACCTAGGTGTGGAAGGAGTGGAAGGAGTGGAAAGAGTGGGAGAAGAAAGGTTTTGGGATTTAGCTTGCCTGAGAACCAACCGTGGCCCGAGCATTACACATACAGATATGCGCCTCGCTTTGTCCTGACGGTTTTGCTTCGATTTGTTCCATATCTTTCACCGACTCACCCGCCGTCCCAACCCATTTGTTATGTGTGTAACGCGGGTAACGCGGGTGACGTAGCGCAGGGAAACTCCCCGTAGGGGTGACGGCCAAGAGTGTACCGATGCGGCTTTGAGCTATCATGAACGTAGGAGTACTCCTGATCGGGGGGTTGTGGGACGGTGGTCCCACAACACAATAATGAGCGGCAGCAGCAGCGGTTGACGACGGGACGACTAAACCGATGGGCAGGCGGAACGAATGGACAAACGAATGGACGAACGATTGGACGAGCGAATGGACGAACGCACGGCGTAATGATGATCCACCGTCCTAAAACCTCACTTTAATGTGCACAAAGTGTATTTATTTGTACATACATGCATGCGCGGCTCGCTGCCATGCAAGGACTCTTTATAGATGCCCCTTGCTTTATAGATGTCCCGGCGTTGCTTTCATTATCATTCCCCCAAATCAACATAGGCTTGTTTCATGTGCCCATATGGTTTATGATGTGTGGAACAGGGGGGCATATCTTCACCCGTGGCAGCTACCCTGCGAAACCCTGCCTTCCCTGGTATTTTGGGGCACCCTCATCCAGTCACCCTAGTCAACTTCTCAGTGGATCGCTCAGGCTCCGCACCCATCACCAGCATCCAACGGAATCTGTCGGATCGACAGCGGCCCAACTACATTCCTGATCGGCAAGTTTATCCCAGGTCACCACCGGCCATCGACCAGGGGCGCTTTACCTTCCACCATCGGAAGGAATATTCGATCCTTACAAGTCTCGATCCCGGAATCTCCCGGGAGCATTGGCCGTGCTTTACCAGTAGTGCCTAACCTAGTGTACGTTTATGTTACCCATACATCCATCGCATCACGCCGCGCGCCACCCTGGATTCCTATCCTGCCGCTCAGCAATTGATGTATGTGGTGCTGTAGGTGCGTATGTAAGTCGTAGTCTGCTGCTGTCCGGCCAGACAGGTGTAGATGCACATATCCGCAAGTGAAAATCTGCCCACTCGCGATCGACGACTTGCTGCTTATTTCTTTTTTAACCTTTACAGCGATATCGATCTAAATTTCACCTTCCTGGATGCGACCAAAAAGATAGACGTGCTTCCAACAGAACCGGGTATCACCCTGCTGGGGTACTCGCTTGGGGTCAAGTAGTAGCTCCCTGTAGCAGCTACTGCCACTACAACAAAGAACACAAACATTGCGGGCCAGTGCTCGCTCTAGGGCTAATGCCATCCCGAAAACGACAGCATCAACGCAGGAAACGTTCCTGGAGCCGCCATCCGCGCGTTTGTGAGCCAGCAGCCCCCGTCGCGCACGCACTGCCGATGACCGCTGAGCAACAAGCACTGCTCCTGCGGATGCATATCGAGCAATATAGGGTCTGCTATGGTTGACACTACTGTCTGATACAGTTTAAGGTCCTGGATTCAATTCCTGGGGAAACCCCCGACATTGTCGGGAGCGTGGGATTATGGCTAGCTGCTGAGATGTGGAGTTGAGGTCACAGTTGGTGGATCGAGATTCGTACGCTGGATTGGTAGCGATTGCTGAACCCTCTGTCTTTGCGGATGTTCGGGTGAACGGATGAGGAGGGATTCTAGAAGGCAGGATCAACCGCCTTGGACTTCTAGTTCGTATGGCGTAGTACAGTGTGGTAATGGTGGATGGGGCTGAATGGTGTGATAAATTGTAGAAATGACAATCTGTTCAAATGGCCCAGAAGCCTTCCACTCTATAAGAATTC